ACATCCTTCGTTGCTTCAATAATCAACAGAATGATTCAATCACTCTCTACAGGATTTCAGAATTAATGTCACTCCGGAAACAACCAAAAAAATTAGAGTGTCAAGATCAATGAATGAATAACGGTTCTTTCTTAGACCATAGTCCTCCTTTACGTAAGCGCTAACAGCTTGTGTTGACGTAACGTTTCATCTTCTTCGGCTGCGGCGTCCAGCCGAGAAGTTGCAGAAGCCGTAACCGTCACCACGATTAATCGAAATAAAGAGGGGGGAGGGTGACTTAACGATAAAGAAAAATCGGACTAAAAAGAAAAATCCGTTCACTGTGGTATCGTAATTGACAGGACAGACGGCTGAAGTCCGTGCTGCGGTGGTATACTGATGAATAGTCCTTTACCATCGATGTGTGTCCATTGGATTGCATTAGCGGTCAGGCGTCATTGTGCCAACTCGCGCGGTGAAAACTCACTGGATTGATCATTCCGCCTCCCTCATCAGGTAAAAGAAAGGGGGTCTCCTTCTCAGGTACTTCTTGATGCACTTCCTACTCCTGTGCATACACTAACCTCTTTATGCTGGTTTCCCTTCGTCCCTCGAACTCTCAAACATTTTACACTCATCGTCCTCCTCTTTCAGCCTCTTCGCTGTCCCTTCTACCTCTTCGTCAACGGCGGGAGGTGGTAGACTGTATGCCATGGCTTCTCGCGAATCAATTAGAGCCAAGCCGCGAAGTACACGAAGAAATGCCATGGTGCCCTCATGCATTTAAGTAGGGAGCAGAAGGGAACAACAGAGCCACGGTGGAAAAGCCACCATCCATCTGACAATCCGACCTTCTCGCGAATCAATTAGAGCCTACCTGAGAAGTAGACGGGTGCATCGCACTTACAAGATGTATTTTCGTTTCTTTTACCGTTTTTCCTTTATTTTTTATCTCTCCCTGTAACTTCTTTGGTGAGGATTTTTGCCGCGGAATGAGGCCGGTAAATACAGTCATTCATGGATGCTTTTTTTTTTGTTTGTCCTGGGGTAGACAATTGGAAAAGTGTATGATAGGGACTTTCGCCTTGAAGTTGTTCTCTTTCAAACGCGGTATCCGAATCGGCCCGTTAAACCTCCTCAAGTGAGAGGGGCAGGTGGCAGGCGTTTACACTTTCAGAACCGTCTCTCTGGATTCTTGAGCATCAAGTGTAGATTTTCATCATTCACTCGCAATTTAAATTGCAACAATATGTATATTCAACGATATTAAACGAATAAAATTGATTAAATCAAATGATTTCCTGTTTCTGCATGTTTCATCACGGTCAATTGAGACCATCGGGGTAACTGCAAGATGATAGTAAATAATTGCCAAGGATCGTCAGTTTAGTCGGCATATGAGAGAAGACTAGAGGGGTGGCACGAGTGTGCGGACAGTTCCGTTATCAGCCTCAAGGCGCGCATGGTGTTCGTTCACCATTACCGTGGAACGCGGAATATGATTACCCTTTCCTTCTATCTTGGGAACAAACCACTTATATCCTGAGGTGGAATTCAGGTACAATCAGGGGGGTCTTTTCTACCCTTTTTTCCGGGCATTTATGTCGCCGATAGGAGAGAAAAATATCTCACTTCATTCGGTAAATAACCGCAGGTTCAATTTAACACAGCCACTATTTGCATATTTATTTTTCAATAATTCCAGGACGATGACAGAATAATTGCACGCGTAACACCTTTTATGACGCCTCACGCAGTCAACCACAAACATTATTCCAAAAGTATTCATTATGAGGTGTTAACCTTCATTAGTGTCAACAATAATTCTTCGAGTTACCTTTTCAAGGGCTATTTATCTTCTGCACCTTTCTCGCCCCTCCACCCCTGCCCCCCCCCCCTTGTCCGTCAAACCTGCGTGCCCTTATCTCTTTACCATCCATTCACCGAATTCTCGGCTGAATGAAGTCGCCAACTGAATACCAAAACATCCCACACAACCCTAGGGGGGATCCCACAAGAGGTTCCCTCCCGCCCCTCTCTCGCTCTCTCTCTGTCTTCGACTCTCTCACCTTCTCTGACCGGAAGTACACCAGGTACTGGAGTGACTCTCTCTCTCTCTCTTTCTCTCATAAATGTGAGATGTGCAATTTTTTCATACACAGAAGTACCATCAAGGGAAAACTGACACCGGTGTGATGCTAACGAGCACGTCAAGAATACTCGAGTGTCACTTGGTGCCCCGGAGGGGTCACAATGGGTCACGAAAACCTAACCTAGGGTGCTGCCCACGTTCTCTTTAACCATTCCACTGGGGCTCTTTACCCATTTATAAGAGCTTGCGGGTGGGACTTTGTGGAAGACGAGATACCTTTGCATCTCGCCGACCGATTCTACGGAGAGTCAACGTTTCCGGTTCATTATAAGGATCTCCATGTGCATTTGCCAGTTTGGCGTTCTACGGCCATTAAATTTTCAAATATGACGGAAATAAAGATCGATTCCGCGGGCGCGGCGGTNGCGGCGGTGGTGTGGAAGGGGGGGGGGGGTAATGAACACTAATAAACTTTTGCTGTTTCTGCGCTGGTCCTTTCCGCTGCACGGAGAAAATTATTTCGGAATTAATTAAATTTCAAAAAAGATTTTTCAGGTTCATTCGACAACCATTTGTTGAATTTTTTATTAACGTTCGTCAATTTTTGCATAAAAAATCACAGAAGCTGCCATATTTCTAATTCAATAAATTCAATCAATTCTTCGTACAAGATAGATGGTGGGGGCACATATATGTACATTTGAAAAGGTGGCCCGTCTGTTATTTTCCTCGATATTTTTTTCCCGATTTTTCTTCCCCGACATTTGTTCCTCCCCAAATTTTCCTCACGTCAATTTTTCCTATGTTACTTTTCTCATGTCACTTTTTTCCCAACTTTTTCCCTCTCTAATTTTCTGATTCAATTTGTATATTTTGACGTCTTGTTCCATCGATAAATAATTGAAAGAAATGAATGAAATTCGTAATTGCAATTGTTTGTTTGTCTATTTTGACTGATTGAATTGCATGTAATATTCTGTGGACTGTTCTTGTAATATTTCATTTTTATATACATGATTATGACGTGTATTAATTTTTTTTTCATTCACTTTACTGTTCGTAGGGATTATTATTTGCTCAGGTATCGATGGGAAAAAGAGGAAACAGTTTGTTTTAGGACAATCTGTCGGGGAATAAATGTCGGTGAAGAAAAGTCGTGGAACTATTTGGAATGAATCCCGCAATCATTTATATCTTGTCAATCGATCAACGTCTCCCCAAGAAGATATTTTCGTAATAATCCACAATTCCTTGTTAAATTTGATCCATCATGCAAGACCAGGTACCACAAAAGTCATCGCCGTAGCCGAGAGGACGACTCTACGTAAAATGACGAAACTGCGACATCCTGACGACCCGCTCCACAATCCCTCAAACAACTTACTATACGAACGCACCCAAATAGAACCCATCACAGACAGATTCAAGAAATTAACGACAACTTTCGCTCTTGGTAAACTGAACCATATTCGCGACCTCTGCCACAAACGCATGCCCAATATCAAAACCCGTTCCAAGTACACTAATAGAACGGTTTAGTTATTGTTAACGAATGGATTTTGGTTAGAGGTTAGGGTCTATTCGGTCCCACCAAATGTTCATTCTTTAATAGTTAACGAATGTATATTTGAGGAGCGTTGTTTGACTTGACTTCCGCCATTCCAGTGAACCATTCGTTAACTATTAACGAATATTCATTTGGTCATATTCAACTCTACCATTCGTTAATAGTTAACGAATCTCGTTTGGAATAAATGAATCATTAACTATTAACGAATCGCGGTAACAGTTAAGAAGCCTCGATTGGTGCAACTGAATTGTTCCACCTTTTCTATCAATGTATATTCTTTAGTGATGCCACAAGACGAGACGAGACAAGAAATGTCATTTTCTCGTCTTCTATCGTCGAGAGTCGAAAGATTCTCTCGCAGTCTCTCATCTCGTCTCGACTCATCTTATTTCGTCTCGTTCCGTTTGGAAAAAAATAGCAGGTAAAACGAGTCAGGAAATTTGAGTAAAAAAAATAAGGGTTAAGGGTTTGGGTAAATATAAGGGTCAGAAAATTTAAAGTTCTCGTCTCTGTTCTCTCGTTCTCTCGAGCAACTTTTCTCGTCTCCTCTCGCCTGCTCATTTCAATCTCGATCACCTGTCAGTGAGAGAGATATAAAAAGACGAGGCAGATGATACAAGAAATGAGAGGTTGTCATGTAGATCATCTCAAGCAAAAAATACTGTACTCCAGGTAACGCAGATCTTCCACAATATGAATTATCACGGCAGCGACAAGAGACAATGTATGCAATTCAGTCGACAAGTTCATGAATTATGCGAACGCAACGAATAAGATAGTAACATCGGCTGTGTGAATGATTAATGAATTGAACCGATGGATACGATAGATGAGTCGCTCTTGCAGATGCGTGGGGTATCCGGTAATTAAAGATACACGAGAAGTCTCGATTACTTGCTTTAAAAAATTTATTTATTACTGAAAATTAATTTTCCATATACATCCACCAATTATATCGCATTTAAATTTTAACACGATGGAACCTTACATTTTTTTCCGTTACCGGAATAACGGACATTATGCGGAGTTGTACACATTCCCACGGCTTGGTAACTAAAAAATATCTATGTCTTTCGGCAAAAAAAAACAATATAAAGAAACAGCCAAACCCGTATTCACCGCCTACCACAAATATATACTCACCTGGATTGTGCGATAAACTTCTATATGGAAAATATGTAATAGGCAACTGAGAGGAAAATAGACTGTCCTCTTATCGCACTGGGATTTCCGGAGCGTTTTAATAAACATAATAGCTACCACTGTAAACTTATCTCACATTTTGAATTTTTGATAAATTTTCGGAGGTGATTAGACACAAAACAAATAATTAAATAAATATTCTCCTATTTGTTTCAGGATACGGAAGATGACGGGGCTGAGTGCCGGGCTCTACCGGCCTGGAATAATTCTCTGGCTGTTAGCCCTTCTCACTTTACGTGCCACACATTCCGGTGAGTAATTTATAAAATTTACCCCAAGTATTTTCCACAATCATACCTCTCTATCATCGCACTATTTACAATGTACCAAGTTACATTGTTTTTTGTGCCCCTGCCAATTGTATGATTTACATAATTGCCTGAATGGCTAAGAAAACAGAAAGTTACAACTAGTTAAAGGATGTAAAGTGGAATGAGAAAAAAAACAATAATAGAATTACGTTGTCGCCATCCTCTTCATCCTGGCTTCATCATTGCCAGTTAAGTTTTCTCTCTCGTTTTCTTCAATCTAACGTTACGGTTGGACGCGCAACGAGACACGCTCCAGGTGACGGACAATGAGGGAGAAGGCCACTTAGAGTTGGTGTTACAAAAGAACTGTGGCAGGATGCAAACAGAAAAGGACGAGGTATGAGGCATTGATGTTGGAAGTATTGAACTGGCAGGTTTGAATTTTCTCCAGCGTCATCGAATTATATTTCCCCCGAAGACCTCCCGCAATATGTCTTCTTCCAGCAAATTCCTGGCAAAAGATGTGCAATGCATTCAGAAGTTTTCATCATACTGTTTTTATGACAGTGAAAAATGCTCGTGCTCTGATGAGTCTATATCGAGGCATCAATTTTTCTTCTCAATCGCATCCTCAATCTCGCCTTCAATACCTCAATCGTCTTGGATTCCTGTTCTTATGTTCCCCTTGGACTGTCGTACAGAGGAGACTTCTTCCTGAATCACAGCTAACTGCAATTGGAAAGCCCTTCTCTCTTTAACCTATCCATAATGGGTGCGTTTATTCGTCTTAACTCCAAGACTTTTCCCATGGTAACTTCTCTCTCTCCCTCTCACTTTATCTACACCCAGTCTTTTCACTCGTACATACGGAGTGTCATCGAAGAGTTGTAACAGCAATGCAGCTCCTCCCTGGGCTAGCTTCTCTTCGTGGTATCGTCAGCTTCCGTTTAAGTACAAGAGGCCGGTTCTATCCGTTCCAGGGTTAAGGACCAGTAGATTCTTTGATAGTCCAGTCAACGGGGCAGAAAAATTGAGATAACTACTGAAAGTTTTGCAAATTTTATTCACCTCGTCTCAGGGATTAAATAATACGACTATTGCTTTTTGCTTTATCGCTAAAGGGAGTGTGCATATATGTATATTTTGACTTGTGCCAAAAAATTTCCTTCAAGTTTCGGAAAAGATCCAGAACAATTTTTCCAAGTTTTTATATCACGTATGAAAAAATCCTATAGAATTTCCTATGGAGAATTCCAACATTTCCTATAGAATTTTTCTGGTGGGATTTCCTATAGAATTTTCTATAGGATTTCCTATAGAATTCACTATAGGGTTTTCTATAGAAAGTAACACACAAAATTGAGATTCGAAACCAATCGGTCACAAGGGTCAGGATTAGGGACATAAATTTGATAGGAAATTCTATAGGGAATCCTATAGAAAATCCTGTCGGAAATCCGATAGGAAATCCTATCAGAAAAATCCCATAGGAAATGTTCGAATTCTCCATATAGGATTTCCTATAGCATTTTTGCATACGTGGTAACCTCGGGACAGGATTTCTAATTGTGAATTTAAAACCCTTCGGTACATCTCATGTACTATTTCGTATCAGCCCGGGTTGTATCAAGCGCTCTCAAGTGTAATATAAGAGTCAGACACTAAATCAGTAGCGAAGCGGTAAACTGGGTAAAGTCGATTTTGACTATTGGCTAGTTGTTGACGAATATCTCGGAATCTAAAAGAGATGGAAAAATTTTTGTCATAACCTTTTTTGTAGAGCCAATTGAGGGTTATAAAAAAGGTTATGAGAAAAATTTTGCTATCTCTCTTGGATTCTGTGATATTCATCAAAAACTGGCTAAAAGTAAAAATCAACTTAACCCGGTTTACCGATTCGCTACTGAAATGTGAGAATATGTGTACGTCCGTATGAAAAGGGCCCACTTTGTCGCATTTAGTTTCCGAGATATTCACGTTTTTCTATCGACGTTTCCCATTTAACCCAATGTTAAATTATTTTTTCGATCTTCGATAGCGACGTTATTTTTCACACTTTCGGAGTCATTTTTGGCTCAAAATGTGCGGAATCGTACTAAGATTACTGCAATATACATAACTCCAATACCGCCAAAGTGGGCCCTTTTCATGCGGACGTCCACATATAAGGGTCAAAAAGTGGAGGTTAAAAAATGAGGGTTGGAATATTAGAGTCAAAAACGGAGGGCCTGAATGTAAAGGTGAAGGAATGAGGGTCAGAATGTTAGGGTTAAAAAAAGAGGGTCAGAATATGAAAGTGAAAAAAGTGGGTGTTAGGTAATGAGGGTCATGTAAGGGCTAAAAACGGTGACCAAGCATAATATATGATTTATATTTAGACCCTCATTGTCTAACACCCACTGTTTTTACTTTTATATTCTGACCCTAATGGTGGGGAAATAGGTCACGGCTGGGTTCACTTGAAACACTTTTTTGACTCAGATTTAACATTTAATAATGCTTTTAATACAACTTGATTCAAGTATATTTTATTATACTGTATTCAGGTATATTTTTTTCTTCCGCATGGCTTCATAATTCGAGTCTTACCAGCTCTTAGCGTTACCCAGAATCCACGGCGGAGCCGTTACTGGTTCACAGAGATAGGCATAATCATAAATTATAATTGTCACTAATTTCATAAATACTCAATCAAACAATAGAACTTAACAATTTTTCAATTATTAAATTAACCAACAACTAAATATTCAAACTTTGAATTACTTTACCACTCAATAATCGAATCGTAAGATCGACGATTATTTGAAGAATCTTAAATACTTTTAGGAAATTTTAAATTATTCACTTAATAGTTATTTGAAAATTTGGATTAATCAATGCAGTTATTTTAAGGAAAGTATTCTAATATTATTGAAGTAATGATTGATGCCGATCACGGCTGGTACAGAACCCCAAAAAATAAATTTAAAAAATATGAAATTTGAAGACCCCCATTTATTAATTTATTAACCACGATCCAGTGACATCTGAATCCCTAAAATAATCGTGTATCATTGATCAGTAAATTCCCACAAAGTAACAATTTTTATCGGCTACAGTGAATTTATTTGATAATGCATTTGGTAACAGGTTGCTGTGGATGACGCATAAATAGTACTATCGCATCATCAAGAGGGCTTTGAAAAGCACCTGGAGGCTTCTGGGGGCCATATCAGGGCCATGAGAATGAGATAAAGAGGCCATTGTTGAGTTTTGCACCGCTTAGAGAGAAAGAGAGAAAGAGAAAAAAGGACACCCCCTCTGAATATTCTCTCATTTCTTCATCTCACTCTTATTCTAGTATACGTTTTGTATTCATTCCACTCCTGGAGGCTACTTTTGCCGGGGTCAGCTGCGGTCATAACCGTAGAACCCATAACGGAACACGTGGGTGCAGCGTCAGCGTGACACGGATTAAATTATCAGGTGTTTTTTTGGGATGAAAACTTCGATTCATCAGATCATAACCTATCTCTCAGTTCTATCGTGCATCGTTTGTTGGCCGATAGATTCTCAGTTTGTGTTTAGATCAAACAGTTCTCCGTCATCTCGTTGGGGCTAATCATTAATTTCTGGATGAGGTCAAGATAAAAAAAAAGTGAAGCGAGAAACAGTTACGCGCATTGGACCGGTTGTTTCCTTTCATTGGTTTCGCCCGTTTTTTTTGTTTTCCCATCTTCGACTTTTTGTTTTTTCCCTTCTCAATGGATCCCTTTTTCCCAAGGAAACAAGGAAGCACTCCATGGAATGCACCATGGATGAACAACCTATGAAAGTGTCTGGATAGATTACGTTTTCACGCTTTGTAACAATGAGATCTCACAAAACATGATACATGGATAGAAAAAGGGGAAAAAACAAACTGCATAGTGAAATATTTCAAGGAAATTGGCTCTTAAGGGCCTCTTTACCTCAAGTCTTAACTTGACTTTCGCTTCCTTATGATTAAAATGCGCAGAGAAGAGGGAGGTTATGAGCCATCGTCACGCTCCTGTCTCTCTAAAGGAAGTGAAATTTATTCAGTATTTGATTTGTCTTCACTATTCACCATGAAAATCACTTACCTGTTACCAACTTACCTGGGGTAAGCAAGAATTTTTAACCCTTAAGGATATTCCAGTACTTGGGCTATTTCTTCTCCAGCGAAACAGTTTTCTACTTTTGAAATCGAACATCAGAGGTTTCATTGAAGCCCATTTGACCCTAAGTTTCCGGACATTGTGCAATGGATTTATTATTTAATCTTTGCAAGTCTGAATTTGAATATCGACATTGAACCGAAAATGTTTTAAAAATTTGAAAAAAAATTGAAAAGTTTACTTTTGGGGGAAGATTCATGGAATAATTTGAAAATTGCAATTTTTTGAAATTACGAGCATTTTCTCTTAATAATTTATAAACAATCAATTTTCTACCATAAAAATCATCAATCATCAATTAGCAATATGCTTCCGAGTGGTTATTTTGCACGACATTTCCTCCTATCATGTATAATTTATTATTTATTTCATTTTATTAAACTGAATAAGATTTTTTTTTGACCAATTTCGTTAAATTTTCAACTTAGTTGAATGTTATCATCATCATTATTATTCTGACTCCTTTCTTCTACACAACCGATTGTCTTTTTTACCGTTCAATCACTCCCCTCAGCCCATCGATAAAATGTTAATAGAAAAAGTTTATTTATACATACTTGAACGAATTTGAAACACCACATTTAAAGAAACCATCAAAAAGCTCACTTTTAGGGACATTCATGAAAAATTCGAAACCAATATAACTATCGTAATCATCTTTTAACTTGGACTTAATGGCATTAAAACAAACATTTTAAGCTATGATTGAATTCATTTGAAGCATGATATTCAAAGATATCCCCGGAATTCTGATTTTCGAAAAATACAAAATTTTTGCAAATTTTCAAACAAATCAAAATAACGGTTATTGCTATTCGCTTC